ATTCATTATTTTGAAACATCATGTAGTCCAGGCTGGCCCCCATCTCCCTGTCATTGCCTCACCGAGTGCTGGGATGCCAGGCTCTGTCTGGCATCGGAATGTGAACAGACTGCCTGAGTTCTGGTGTCTTCAGGTAGCATGGACCTTGGTGTTCATTGTGGCCTCCCTGCCAGCACTTCCTCCTCTGCCTTATGCTTCTTGAGTGGGGAGTGCCTGGCAGCTGTCCCCCAGGGCTGTGTGTCCCAGAAGCCTTCATGGGGAGGATCAGATTAGGAGTTTCCCACGTGTACTGAAGAGCTGGGAGCCCAGGTCTAGAAGGGCAGAAGGTTCTGACAGAATATTGCTGCAACCTTGTCTGGTCCAATCCCTTGCAGTCTGGAGAAGATAAAGTCACCGCCTTCACCTCTGTGTCTCCCTGCAGACGGCCCAGACATCCTCTCCAGCGAGAGGGCTCTCCCCCGCCCCTCCCTGCCTGCCTGCCGTGCGGGGCTCCCTGGCAGCCTGTCATTACTGCATTATGGCAGGATCCCGAGGCTGCAGTTCCAGCCCTGTAGGGAGAAAGCTCCTTCAGCCATCAGCGTGGTGCAGGGCCGTGCTAGCAAATTATGGGACCGTTTATCAGCACAGCAAGGTCTCTTATTTGGCTCAGAGAGGAACCCCGCTGGTTGCTCTCCTGTTCTCACTGGATGCAGGTTTCTCACTGGAGTGGTGACCCCAGAATAGCACCTTGCCTGCTGCTGCCAGGGAGACTTCAGGGCCGCCTGTGAACCCTGAGGTGGGAGCCACAAAACCCGGAGGAAACCCCAGCCTACACTTATCAGCTCTGCCTAGCCATAGCACTGCCCTCACCCCCTGGGCAGGGTTGTCTGTCACTTCTGTAAAAGTGATTGACGTGATACCTCTAGGGGCCTGAGGCAGATGAAAATGGGAAACAAAAAATACTCCGCAGCCACGAGAGGGCTCAGTGGGTAGACACTTGCTGTTAAATCCAATCCCAGGACCCACGAGGTACTGACTCCCACAAGTTGTTCTCTGACCTCTACCCCAGCACCTCAGCACGTGCATGCCACCCCCCAGTAAACATTTGTAATAAAAAATTTAAATATTCCAAGACACTAATAAAAATTTAAATGCCAGGCAGTGGTGGCGCGCGCCTTTAATCCCAGCACTCAGGCAGGCAGATCTCTGTGAGTTTGGGGCCAGCCTGGTCTACAGAGTGTTGAAAAACCTAAATAAATAAGGTATTCCAATTTCTCAGGAAATTGTGGTATGGGCATGTAACATCAGGAACGGCATGAAGAAACAATGTTTTTGTTTTTAGACAGGCTCTTCCTGTACTCCAGGGTGCCCTTGAACTCAAGAAAATCCTCCCACCTCACCTCCCAAGTGCTGAGATAGCAGGTGTGTGCCATCATTGGCATCTGGAATCTTCTTTATCACCAGCCTTGGGGCACTGGGGACAAGTCTTGTCCTAGCAGAGGGACTTAAGGCCCTTCTTGACTTGGCCCAATAAGCCCGGGGTCCCACACCTGCTCAGCCCCTCACCAGCCATTCCAACCTCGGCAAGTGGTTTCACTTTTTGGTGCTGTCAATGGGACTTTCAAGGGCTTTATAGAGATTAATGATGCCTAAAGGCCCTGAGCCTAGGACCCAGACATGTGGTCGGTCACTCCAGGGTGCTGGCTTTCTCTGAATAGTGCCTTCTGGAGGGCTGAGGCAGGAGGAAGCAGAGAAAAGGACCAGGGTGACGCAGAGGAAGTCACAGCCCAGAGGCACCAGGCCTACCCACTGCCCCGTGTGGGCCCCATCCCACCCCCTGCACCTGGAGCTTAATGACCTTGCATCTGGCCTATTTGTCCTCAGTGTTTGCCCAGTGCCAGCTGCAGAGCCCACGAAATGATAGATAGCCTGGCTTGAGCTGCCCGGGAAGGACGTTATTGTGCCACATTAATACTCTCCACTTGGGTCAATAATTTACTGGAGGTTCAGGATGGACCTGAGGCTCTGGATGGGCCACGATCGCCTCTGCATATGGATCTATCCCTCTCCAAGGCACCCAGGTTGAAAGACTCTTGCAGCAGACACTAGAGAGAGGTGGCAGTGACCTAATTTTCTCTTATCAGGCATAAGGGAGTAGTCCCCACAGAGCCTTGCCCATTTCCAATATTAATAATGTAATTCGCCACCTCCACCCCCCCCCCCCCATTGAGGAGGAAGGGGCAGCCTTTGATCTGAAGGAATTAAGTCAGTAAACAAAAGCAAGAGCGGCTGTGGTGTCTTGTGACAGGTACCTGCTGTGCCTTTACCCCAGACCAGAGTTAGGTTCTAGCCTGGGTCGGCACAGCCGGGCTCCAAGTTTCTCTGTATCCCCAGCTGAGTCCAAGTGACACCCCTCTAGAGCTCCTGGCCCTCACCTATGGGAGCCTAGCATCGCTCGGCGCCACATCTCCACTCTTTCCTCTCTGGAGGTCCTGAGTGAGTGAGTAGTTTTCGTGGAGAGAGGTGCCCTGGGAAGCCCGCAGGAAAAGCTTGAATGCCCTGGGCTGTGTGGCTTAGTCCAGGCCTGAGGGTCTCCAGGCTGGGAGGAGAGATTGACAGAGAAAGCCCCAGGGAGCTGCTGCGGGCAGGGCTCTGCTCCCTCCAGCTCGCTGCTTTAGCTGTGTAGACTTGAGGAAGGAAGTCCTGTCTCCTGTCTGGGCTCCTGAGCCTCGGCTGTGCAAGGTCGTGTTCGCACAAGAACTCTGGGATCCCCTAAGTTTCAGTTTCACAGCCTGGCTTTCCTCAGCTCTGTCAAAAGAGGGTCACCATTGGGGGAAATAAAAGAACGATGGAGATGGACTAGACCCAGCCAGCCTGGCCTGTGGTAAGAATACTCACCTCACCCCGTTTTCTCTCCTAGCCCTACATTCTCTTGGCACAGCTTGGGAAGGGGCCTTAGAGGCCCCCAGATTAATGGAGACAGAAGGTTGGCATGGCCACTGCAGACTTTCCCAGTGCTCTGCCTCTGGAGTCCCTGACAGGTCCTTCCTGTCAGTCAGGATGGAGGATGGGGTGGCAGGCGCTGAGTCCTCAGCCTGCCCTGCTATGACAGTTGCCCTGCTTTGAAATCCACGGGGGACCACGCCCGATCCCTCCCCGCCCTCCCTCCTCCCTGCCTTCAGCTCCCAGGCTGAGATCCCCAGTTCCCTAGGCTGAATCTATTAAGTCCTTCATATTAACCAGCGAAGGGGGAAACAACCCTCTTTCATCTTAAGCGAGTGAATTTGCATTAACACCTGGGGAGTTCTGTTTGCCTTGAGAAAGCCCATTGCTATTCTGGGCTGCACACACCAGCAAGGAGTTAGTTGCAGCATTCTATTCTTTTATTAATACGGCTTTTCTCTCCTCCCTCTTCTTTTCCCAAGGAAGGGGAAGAGTGGCAGGGGATTCCAGGGCTCCCCTCTCCACGTGGGGATGCCAAGAACGAGGGGCCCGGAGCAGCTCCCAATGGAACTGCGTTTTCCTGGGGAAAACAGCTGCATGCTGCTGTCTCTCTGGGATCTTGGTGCAACTTTACCAACAACCTTCAGTGGGCCTTGCTGTGGCCGGTTCACGCATAGTTGGGGCCCAGCCCCTTAAGGACCAAATTTAGAAGGGAAAGGAAGAGAGTTGGGATGGGGGATACCAGGAGGTAGGAACTGCCTACCACTAACTCAGGGAGGGTGCTCACTGGCTCCATGTGGAAATCACAGCTTTCTTGGGGGACCTGGCTGGCTGCCACATGTCAGTCCCAAGGCCACTGCTCCTGGCTCCTCTGGGAGAAACCCAGGCATGCGCATAGGAAATGTTGGGTCTGGGACAGGTATGAGTTGGGCTGAACTTTGCAGATTTTAGACCTGGAGACTGGGTTTCCGGAAGAAGAGAAAAAGGGGTACAGGTACCAGTGAATGCCTCCCCTCTGCTTTTATCTGAGATGGGTGGTCTTGTGCCCCCAAATCTTCAGGGAGCCCCATTTTCCCCTGCAGCCTTCCTATCCAGGATAGGCCAATGAGCCATGAAGAAACAACGCGACTTCCAGAGCAAACGCCCACCTCAGGAGGCTGCTTTGAGATATACCGAGTAGGGGCTGGATGGAAGGCTGGGGCCCACAAGGACCATGTGAGGATGCTCTGGCCCATATTGCTGTTTGGCCTCTCAGCTACATCCCTTTCCAACAGGAGTCACTTCTGAGCCCACTACAGGCTCTTCCTGGGGCCACATTAGATCAGGGAGCCTTGGTTGTGAGCCAAGGCCTGCTGCAGCGAGAGTGCATTAAGTGAAGCTGGCTGCTGTGTGGTTATAGCTGTGTGTACTGTGTGCGTGTCCTGGATCAGTCATCGAGGGTGACAGCTCAAGACCGAGCATGGGCCCAGAGAGCTCTGCATGGTTCTACTTCCCACTCAGAAGCCCAGGGCAGCTGGGCCCCCCTTTTGGAACCTCTGCAAGGCAAACAAAGGGGTAAATCCGGCCAGCCAAGAAGCAGCCTGGAGTTCGCGTTGTGGGGGGTCAGAATCGGGACCCGCAGTTACAAGCGTCCCCGAGTTGGTGACAGAACTACAGCCTGGAGGGTGCAGCCGTCCTGGAAGCCACAGGGACGGGGACCCTGGTCCTGCATCAGCATTCCCAGGGCATCCTCAGCCCCTCTGGCAGCCGGCCCACCCCCATCTGCAGCTGGGCCATTGCCAGGACTGTCTGCTGCTCTCCAGTGACATTTACCAGCTGAGAAGTGGCCATCGAGACGTGAAATCAGTGTGGCCCGGAGCTAACTCACTTCATTAGAGTCTCCCTGCTCCACTAGCTGGACAGCAAAGGCCTTCCTCAGGCTCCCCCAGCTCCTCACAGCCCGTCCAGACACAACCCGAGCCTCCTCCTTGTCCCAGCACAGACCCTGTGTTCATGTGATCAAGACCGTTGTCTCCTAAACACCTGCTCTGGTCAGGCCTGAGAAATGTAAGAGTAATTAATGACAATAGTAGCCTATGTTGCCCTTGGCATTTTTAAAATTTTTATTTTCAGGGAGTATCTCATATATCCCAGGCTGGCCTCAAACTTGCAATGGACAGGATCACCTCAGACTCCCAATCTCTTGTCTTTTTCTCCACAGCGCTGGGATTACAGATTCATATCATTCATTCGGCGTAATACGGTTTGTTTGTTTGCTTGCCTGCTTGTTTGAGACAGGGTGTCCCCATGTAGCCCCAGCTGGCCCAAAACTCAGTATGTAGCCTAGACTGCCTCAGACTCAAATGCCCTCCCAAGTGTTCAGATTATAGGTGTGCATCACACATACCTAGACTCTGTATTATAATAGTTTAATTTGTCATTATTAATTACTACTATTATTATCATTAGTGTGTGTGTGGCTGAGGGGGCTGCCCATACATACCACAGTATGCTTTGTGGAGTTGGTTCTATTTTTATGTGGGTTCTAGGAATCAAACTCATGCCATTAAGCATGCATGGCAAGCGTTTTTTGCCCACTGAGTTACCTTGCTGGCCAGCCTCTGCACTAAGACAAGGTCTCACTAGGCAGCCCTGGCTGTCTTGGAACTCACTATGTAGACCAGGCTGACCTCGAACATGCAGAGGTCTGCATGCCTCTGCCTCCCTAATGCTAAAGTGTAGTGGTATTTGCTCTGCCCATGATCTTGGGCTATATGGGAGGTGGTGCTTCCTGCCATTGTATGGGAGCTGTCTATTCGGTTCTGTATTCGTGAATGTATTTCCTCAATTTATGTCTTAATAAATGCCTATTACCTATTAAATAGACTCACATGGATTGATCTCAATACTGGGGTTACAGGCACGCACCACTGCGTCCAGCAGCCTTTGCATTCTTCATCAAGCTTTAATCCTTGTGGCAGTCCCAGGAGAGGCCTGGACACTGTGTACACCGCAGCCCAAAGGCTGCAGCAGCACCCACTTCGGTCCTCTGAGGCATCATGGGAGGCCCTGAAGGGTCCTGTGTGCTCTGCTCATTTATATGATGGGAGGGAATAGGCTCAGGGCCCATGTGACTTCTCACAGCTGTTTTGAGCCCCATTACCTCCCATGCCTGGGTTCATCTTGCACTTAGCCTCAGAGGAAAACCACTCTATCCCCCACAGGACAGCAGTCCTTTCTCTGAGTTACCCAGATGTGGACAACAATCCTCTTGGGGACTCAGCAGCAGGGGACAGGTCCAGGACGACCTGCACTGTCCAGGGAGCCTCAGATTCTGGAGGGACAGTCCCAGGCCTGCCCTGCTCCCAGCAGCAGGGGCACTGAAGAGGAGGATGGTCTCGGTACGCCCTGGTAGGAAGAAAAGAACACAAGGTGTAAGCTCAAATGTTGCTCCCCTCCAGCTGCAGGGTCCCCCAAAAGTCGTGTTATCTCTTTGAAGCTGGGTTTGCTCAGCTGGAAGCCAGAACCATCAAAGTCTGTCATGGATGAGTAGATGAAATAATGCCCACAAAGTGCATGCATGGCGCCTGGTGTTGAACAGTGCCCATAACTGTCAGGGAGCTTGTCTCACCAAAGGGCTAATGTCCCCTAACACTCTCCTTAATCTGTCGGGCCTATGCTTGATGCACAGCTCAGACCCACCTGTAACCTCCCCAGTGCTCAGGGCAAGCAAGCGGCCCAGACCCGCTTCCTTATTGAGCCCCCTCGCCCAGCACAGAGTCCCGCACATGGGGGTGTCTGGTACCTGTTGGCTGGTGAGTCCTGGCTGGCGGAATGAGGATCTCAGGCTGGAGGGCCATTGAGCAGCACAGGGAAACAGTGCCTCAGAAAGGCTGAGGAGGAGACAGTGAGTTCCCAGAAAATGGGCATGGGGGCTGGGCGAGGCTGTAGCATGGCGGCCTCCAGGCCAGCTGGTCAGCCAGCTGAGCTGTGGTCACCGTGGGCCTGGTCATCACTAGCTGACCCTCCCCCAGCCTCACTGGCAGGAAGAGCATCCATCAAAGTCTCCTTCCCCTTGGTGGTGGCCCTGCCTGGATCCACTGGTCCTGCCACTGAAGTCACCTACCGCTTCCTCCTTTAGCCCGAGGGCATGACCTGGCCTGAACACTGTGTGCCAGGCGCTACGTTTTTCTCCATAAAACTGCTTCCCACAGAGGGGGGGGCAGCTCTCAGAAACTCCCCAAGGGTCAAACAAATGAGTCTTGGAGATGTCACTCACATGTTCATTGGTCTCACCCTAGAGCCCCTGTTGTGAAGTTCTGTTACCTTCTAGGTCTCAGTTTCCCCTTGTGCCACAGAGCTGAAATCAGCTGGAGGACCCACCCTAAGAAGCCTTCTTTGAGGACATAGCCTGTTCACCTCCGCAGAGAGCCCCTGGTACAGCATGATGGATGGGGATCCCACAAGAGGCTGGATAGGCACGCCCACACGCCTGCCACCTACTGTGGGTGATGAATCCTCTCCTCTCCCTCCCCCCAGGGGCTCAGCTCCATCTGGTCAGGCACACTGCCAGGCTGATGGATTGGCCGCCCACCAGGCCACCCTCTCTGCCACCTGCATTCATGAAGCCGCACTATCGAATCAGGAGGGCAGGTCTGGGGCTGCTCAATCATTCAAGAAACAGACGTATCCAGGCCCTACTGTGTGCTGGAACACAGTGCTAAGCCCAACAGAGTAGGACATCAGCAGTCACCAAGTGACCAGGAGACAGGCTGACTGAACACCTCCTCGGATCTGACAGGAGACCAGGGAGGTGAGCAGCTCTTACAAAGTCCTAGAAATGAGGAAGGACATGAGGAATGCCAGACCATGGTAGTGGGATGGAGCAGGAGAGGAGGGCTCTGCCTGGAGTCAACAGTGGTTGTGCCAGGAGCTGGGGCACCAGTCCCGGTCTAGAGATGAAGCAGGCTTGGAGATGGAGAAGGACTCGCCCAAGGTCGCACAGCAACATGCAGAGTTGGGCTGGAAGTAAAAGCTCTTGGTCCCTCCATCCCCGAAGTTCCGGCCTCATCCACCTCCGCCTGGACAGATGTGGGTATCCAGCCTGCCCCCACCAGTCCAGCACCTTCTCACTTGTAGAGGCAGCTGTCCCCCCTCTTGCTACCACTGACAGGAGCCAGGCAAGAAATATCACATCATTAAGATGACAAATCCTCTCACTAACTGGACCAGAAGGGCCCGCCGCCCAGCCTCACCTCCCTTGAGTGCCCTCATCCCCCGCCTCAAGCTCCTCTCCTCTCCCAGATGTCAGTCCTGCAGGAGAGCCTGTGCAGGGTGCAGCCCAGGATGCAGCTCCGGACCATCGCCTTGTCCCTAAGGTGACCTTCGGTCCCCAGCCCTGACTCATGGAAGGATGTGGTATTTAAGACCTCACCAATTCTGTCCATCAAGAGGCTGGGAGGGATGGGGACTCCGTTCCATGAATGAAGAGACCGAGGGAGGTGTCCCCTCTCCAGAGGTGGTCTCAGGCAGGGGACTCAAGTAACCCTGCCCAACTCTAATGCCTAAGCCTTCCTGTAGGACCTGTCTTCCTACCCTGGTGCCTACATGTATGTGTGTGCACCACGTCTGCCTGGTACCCATGGAGGCCAGAAGAGGATGTCAGATCCCCTAGAACTGGAGTTACAGACGGTTGTGAGCCACTGTGTGGGTTCGGGGCATTGAACCTGGGTCCTCTGGAAAAGCAGCCAGTGCTCTTTAGCGATGAGTCATCTCCCCAGCCCTCATGGGAGGGACACTTTTTAGCCTGACTGCCACCTGTGCAAAGGACAGAGCAGGGCTCACTGACCTAGACACCTACGCAGAATCCCAGCAACCTGAGCCGGGCCTCTGCCCTCGGTTTCCCTATCTGACAATGGGGCCTGGCCTTCTTCATCTCACCTGGGGCTGTTTCAGCAGCACTTTAGTGCATGTTGAGTGTGTACTCACACATATGTGTGCCACAAACATGACCCATCCTGGTGTGAATGGAGCATGCACACTCACCCTGGTGCACACATCCACACCTGTTCTGCCAGCACCTTGGTTCTTGGGATCCAGATGCCAGACTGTTCATGCATACACCCCCACCAAATGTCCAGTGGCTGCCTGTTTGTGGGCAATCCCAGCCACCAAGTTGTGTCTGTACCACCTAGGCCCATCTGTGTACACCTGTGTCACATGTCCACAGTCACTGGAGGCCCCATAGTGTCCAGAATCCTCTGGGGAGCAGGGTAAGGGACAGATGGCAGGAGACACTGCCTGGCCCCACAAGCAGCCTGGGTCCCCAGAATGACCCCCCTCCTCATCCCTTTCCAGGCCCTGCCTGCAAGGACACACCGTCCGCTGGATGTCCTGGTCTCCTTGGATGCAGACAGAGCTCACAGAGGCGTCTGGCGCATCCCAACTCGGTCACAGCAGCTGCACTGGCCCCCAGCCCCCTTCCCTGTACCCAGTGATGCCCTGATTGTTCCTTATCCCTGCTGGGCAGCAAAGGCAGCTGGCACTTAGCACCCAGGGACCACAGTGTGGAGAGGGCTCCTTTAAAAACCCACCTCGAGGAGTCTCCTAAGGTCTGGCCCTGACCTTGCCAAGTCCTCTCAGGTTTCCCATTTGAAAGATGGGAGGGAGGGGGTTAGGGAATATCTGGGCCTGATTCTCCATAAGCCCAGGGAGGGATTCAGATTTGGAGGTGCAGAGAGGAAGAAGCAGTGTTTTTTAGGGGCCAGGAGTGTTGCAGCAGACCTGAGTCTGGGGGCTGTCTCTCAGTGGACAGTCCATGTCTCCTCATGGTTCCTTGTTGGCCATTTTATAGACGAGGAAACTGGGGCCAAGATCCCCCTGCAACACTCAGTCCGTGCACCGCCCCACATTAAAGACCAGTGTATGGGCATCACGCCCAAGACAGTCCCTGCCTCCCATCCTGCCCTGGGTCAGGGAGGTGACGTTCCCGGAATGGTTTCTCCCGAGCCAGGCGCCTGCCTCCTGCTGCTCACGGCACCTGGCTCTGAGCCTGCTCCCCAGCACGGCCCATTCATTTGCTGTCGCTTCCTGGCAGGGCAGTGGGTCGTACATCACCTGGCCATGCTGAGGCGGCCAGACCAGGCAGGTGGGCAGCGTGTTGCTGGGCTCAGCACTCCTCACGTGTTCAGGAGGGTGTTCAGCCACTATGGCTCCTCCCTGCAACCTAAGGTCTCGTGTCTGCCAAGGAGGGGCCATCCTGGGGCCCCAAGGCCTAATCCAGATGCAGCTGTTTATGGGGGGAGGTAAGAGTCAGGTGGAGGGGGTGCAGCACTCAGGAGGCAGAGGCAGGTGGATCTCTGTGAGTTCCGAGGGGGCCTGGTCTACAGAGTGAGTTGCAGGACAGACAGCCAGGATTATTATATAGAGAAACCTTGTCTCAGGAAAAAAAATAATAATAATAAAGTCAAGTGGAACCCACGGGCTGACCTGGCTGAAGGTGGCAGCTGCCCTATTTGGCAGGGCAGGATTTTTATCTCCCAAACCCTTTCTCCCAAGTAATTTGCTGACATGGGGTGCTGGGTCACTGCCTCCTGCCACGGTGCTGTTGGGGGTTGAGGAGTGGGTACAGACCTCAGGCAGGGGCATCCTTCTAACCGCCCTGTCCCATGTCAGACTCTAGCCCTTGCTCAGCCCTCAAGTCCCCACAATACGACTTCACCTCCCTGGGACACTTCTGTAAGCATCCTCAAGCCCTTCATTCTGTTCAACAATCATTAGAGCAGTGAGCAAAATCCAGACCAGACAAGAAAGGTCCGTTTGTCTGCTGTGGGTCACACTGATAGATGTGCTCTGATCAGGATGAGGACAAGCGTCACTTGTCTGTTTGGTTGCTTGGTTAGTTTAAAGAGAAGGACCATCTGAAAGGTGACTTTGGGGCCTGGAGAGATGGCTCAGCGGTTAAGATCACTTCCTGCTCCTCAGAGGACGGAGTCTGGTTCCCAGTACCCACTCTACACTGTGCACCTCACAACCACCTGTAACTCCAGCTCCGTAAAATCTGATACCCTCTTCTGACCTCTGCAGGCTCTGCGCACATGTGACGTGATACCCCAACACACACATAAATACAAAATTTTTAAAATCTTTAAAGAAAAAGAAGCTGGGCGGTGGTGGCGCATGCCTTTAATCCCAGCACTTGGGAGGCAGAGCCAGGCGGATCTCTGTGAGTTCAAGGCCAGCCTGGGCTACCAAGTGAGCTCCAGGAAAGGCACAAAACTACGCAGAGAAACCCTGTCTCGAAAAACCAAAAAAAGAAAAAAAAAAAAAGAAAAAGAAAAAGAAGAGGAGGAGAGGAAGGAAGGAAGGAAGGAAGGAAGGAAGGAAGGAAGGAAGGACGGACGAACGAACCTTGACTTTTGAGTTAAGACCTGAAAGAGTGAGCCATAAAGGGTCCCAAGGGAGAGCATTTCCGGCAGATGACCGAATACGTTGCAAAGGCCCTGAGGCAGGAGAGTACCTGGCATTCTGTCATGAACAGGTAAGGGTCAAGGGTCGGGAGTCTGCTAGAGTACAGCGAGTGAGAGGATGAGGGTGAGGAAAGAGGCGCTGCCGGCCTTGTGAGCACTTCAACCTGGACAGGTGGGAGTTTGAAGGAGCACTGTAGGCTAGGGGCCCAGTGGGCGGGGCCTGGGGGACAGGGGCCCAGTGGGCGGGGCCTGGGGGACAGGGGCCCAGTGGGCGGGGCCTGGGGGACAGGGGCCCAGTGGGCGGGGCCAGGAGGACAGGGGCCCAATGGGCGGGGCCTGGGGGACAGGGGCCCAATGGGCGGGGCCTGGAGGACAGGGGCCCAATGGGCGGGGCCTGGGGGACAGGGGCCCAATGGTCTGTCTTCTAGGCTGCCCTTCTTTCTCCTCTTTTTCATCAGCTAATCCAGCAAATATTTGTTGAGTGCCAGGTACTGTTTTAGATTTTTTTGTGTGAGTTCAAGCTAAGGAATGCCCCTTTCCTATTTCCCACAATGCATTTTACAGTGTCTATCCCATGAGTCTGGGCCAGGAGCCAGGGTCCCCACACATGGTTCACATGTGTGTATGAAAACTGACCACATGGTGGTATCCAGGTCTGGTCGGCATGTGTCACACGTGTGTACGAGACATTAATCATAGAGCACACGTAAGGATGTCTTCTGCTGAGGACTGACCAAGAGAGTGGACACAAGAGCCCTCCCTATCCTGAAATCTCCCTCTGGGGCTGGGCATGTGTGGTAGATAGCATGTCCAGTGTGTGAGAGGCCCTGGGTTCCATTCCTAGCACTGTACAAAAAGTAACACTAAGCAATCAGACGAGGACGGTTTGTAGCTAGCCCTGTGAGCCTGGAGATATAAAGACGTGTCCCTCTGCCCTGTCAGAACTGGCCTATGAGATTCGGGAGTTCCTCTCAAGTTGCACTTTGCAAAAATCTTTGCCTGCCAACATGATGGAATCGAGACTTCAGAGAGGTGGCGTGTAGGGCTCTTGCCAGCCCCCCTACTCAGACACCTAGAGCCCCACCGTGGAAGGTGAGCAGACCAGAGGCCCTGCGGTGAGCCAGCTATGGCCTGGTAAGGGGTGCTGCCTGCTGTGCCCTGCCCCCAACCCCACGTGCCCCCCTCCAGTTCACCCTGGCCCCCTACAGCTTCTCTAATTACGCAGCCATAAAGCACAAATCTCTAACGATCCAATTAGTAACGCCATTGCTGCCCTGTCCAGGATTAATTACCAGTTAAACTGCAGCTGGTTTATCATCACTTAGGCTCAACATGATGAGGTGCTGTGGGCCGTGAGGGACAGAGACCTCGCTTGGCCCTGGAAGAAGTGTCTCCACCTACCATGCCCAACGCCTCCGGCTAACCCAGTTCCCTAACCCTGGGAACTCCACAGGACTGTAACCTAGTGTCCCGCAGATCTGGTGGTGGCAGGAGCTGAGGGACTCCCCGAGAACAACAGCCCCTCCAGAGGCAATGTCTCGTCTTCACCTCTCACACACTCCCTGTGAACAAAGCATCTCTCTTCTGTGCCCTGGGTGGATGCCAGGCTAATCTCAGTAACCGAGCCATGGAATGAGGGACAGGGAACTCATCTCCACTCTGGCCTCACTGCGTCTGCTCTGACCCCTTTTGACTTCTTCCTCTGCCCACAGGCTCGCGTGAGGAGAGAACGCCACTCTGATGGGTGTTCACACTTTAGCTCTGTGCCTATCCCAGGGGACACACAGGTGTTCCTTTAGGGCCCTCAGTGCTTTGTGTGGACACAGGAGAGGTCTTTGCATACAAAGGCAGAGTCCAGGAATCAGCACACGTTGGCCACTTCCTCTGGGCAGAAAGCCTTGTCCCTGTCCCTGGAGGTAAGCACACAGGCTGCAGCCGGGCACAGAAAGCAGGTCTACCTGAGGTCCCTGACACCGAGGACTGCCATGGAAATGTTTATGCTGTCCTGGACCCTAGGATCAATCCATTCATATCTTATTTTTTCTGGGCTCCCCTTTTTTCCCAGGGGAGGTACCCAGACCCTTAGAGACCCAATGATTTGCTCTATAGATGCCCCCAGAGGATGAGGCCAAACTCTACAGCTCCAGGGTGCAGACCCTCACCTCCTAGGTCTGCACACCTCAGCACCCAGATAAGCCTGAATGTCACATGAAAACCGGGAGAGGAGAGGAGGACTGTCCAGAAGAGGTGACTTCCACTGACATGTCACCCGGGCGCAGCTGTGGCACCAGGTTGGCCTGAGATGGACCCATCGGGTACCTCAGACAGTTGGTTACACTTATAAGCAACAGACTGAGACAGGAGTCTGGGAGGCCCAGAGCGGTTAGCATCCACCCTGTGCCTCATCTCCCCTAGATACAGCCTTCTCTTTGGAAGGGAACCCAGAGCAAAGGCCCATCTGGTGACACCATGGCTGCCTCCCCTCCTTCCAAAGTTCTGATTCCCATGCTGCCTCAGAGCCTGTAGTTCTACCAGTCCCCAACCAGAGGCTCCCACTTTCCTGAGGGGAAGACCGAGGCCTGGGGTCCCTGTTGTTTTCTGGGCAAAACACCCCAAACTCTTCCACCTCTAATCATTTTCCCGTTTTCCCCTCCAGTCTTTCCGTTCCCCTGGAGGCTCCACGGAGCCTTTAAAGTTCACCCAGTGCAAGCCGCATTTCTCAGGCCAAGGGGCTGAATGCCTGAACGTGTGTCTGGTGGGCTAGGTTTCTATGGTTACTGAGGGCCGACCTTGCCCTGAGGGTCCTAAGTGTCTCTCCATCTGTGATCACATCTCTTCTGTCATTTAGCTTGTTTCAGTACAAGCTAGGTGAGGCCACTCCTAGGCCCAGAGGATCATGGGAGCCAGAGAATAGGCTTATGAAGTCTAGAGCCAGGGACAGTGGCATCAGCTACCTTCACCTTCATTACTCTGTGTGCTAGCAGCATGAGCCCATTTCACAGGACAGGAAACTGAGGCCAAGACAGTTGCCATCATCAGGACACAAAGCCAGTGACAGCCTGCAGTCAGGGTTCATCACAGTCACCCTGAATCCCTCACCTCCAGGTGCTTTTCCATCCTCAAGTTGCTTCTGGAAGAGCAACAGATTTAAGGACTGCCCTCTCTGGTGTCCCTCATGCCGTCATGTTTGGTCCTATCACCTTCAGGAGCTGGACTGAAGGCTCAGAGGGGGTGTTCCGTACAGGACAGGGATCAGAGCAAACGGGCCCCGCAGGTTCCGGACTGCACCCTCTCCTGGCCCAGCCTGAGTCTGCAAGCTTATAAATTCCATTATTCATCAAGTGAGTGCCTGGACAATGAATATTTTATTCACCTCCAGACACTGTCCCCACTGGGTTCTTGGAACAACGTTGTTCTCCAGCCAAGGAGCAGAGGCCAGAGCCTCGGCTGTCCCCAGACACCCCCTCTCCCCAACCTGTGCCTCTGTACCCCTCAGCTTCTCTCCAGCCAGGCCTTTTGGCTCTGGCGACGCTGTGGCCAATGGTGCAGACATGACCTTGGCGCTTACCTTCCTTCAAGTTTGGCTTCCTCTGGTCACTGGTTCAGGTTGTCTTGGCAGGCTCTCCTGGGTCCTACACCATTTCCTCTCAGCTCAGGGCCTGCCAGAGCTGCTGGGCGCTCTCCCTGGTGCTGAATGTGGGTGGCAAGCGGCAGCAGGCGGCAGAGTGCAGGTCCAGCCAGCGAGCTGTTATCTTGAAAAGAGAGGCCTCCAGTGCCCAGAAGGAAGGGCCCTGTCTTAGGCAGGGCAGGAACTCTGCTGCTCTTGGGAGGAAGGGGTCAGCGTCCGGACTTCTCTCGCTGGAGGGCTGTTGAGGAAACAAACGGTTGGTTTCAGCTTTCAGGGAGTGGATCACCTTCCCTCACTCCCCAGCCTTTTTGGTGGAGGCTAAGCTCTGAGGTCCATGAGATCCCCTTGGGCAGGCCTGGGGCCCATGCATCTCCCAGTGGGCCCCGAAAGAGCGCAGTGTGACGGCGGTAGCTCCTTCCCCCAGCTGGGGAGCGACAGACATAATTCACACCCTGTGATCGCACCGCACCGTCTGCTCCCTTGATGTGCAGAGAGGACAGGGCAGCTGGGTGACTGTCATTCATTCATTCATTCATTCATTCATTCACTCTCTTATTCACGTCACAGGTGTTCACGTTCCCCAGCCCCAGCCCACACTCGGGGAACCTGAGGGATGCAGACTCAGAACCTGCCTTTTTATTTTTATTTTATGTGCATTGGTGTTTTGCCTGCATGTGTGTCTGTGAGGGTGTCAGATCCCCTGGAACTGGAGTCACAGACAGGTATGAGCTGCCATGTGGGTGCTGAGAATTGAACCCGGATCCTCTGGAAGAGCAGACAGTGCTCTCAACCGCTGAGCCATCTCTCCAGCCCCCAGAGCCTGCCTTCTAAAGCTAAGAGTAACCTCACACCTCTAACCTCCTTACTCCACACCAGACTTCTCCTGGCTTGATGAAACCAGAATGTTCTTGCTGTTCTACACTTAGATGTGCTCCCATTTAATAGATGAGGAAGCTGAGGCTCAAGGAGGACCCCTGCTGGTGAACGCTGCCTCCTAGAATTCTGACCAACACATCCTTCTCCTGCCCCCATGCCCTGAGATTTTTGAAGTCTTGCTTCCATGTCCCTCTGTAAAATCTTCACCCGCCTACATCAGACAGCAGGCTTCAGCCTCGGTTGCACCCAGCAGCCCATGGCCCTTGCTCCGTGGGCCCTTGGCACAAGCAGTTCCTTGCCATCATACTGGCATCGAATGCAGGGTCTGGGCACATGGGGTCTGTCTATTGAATGTCATACACAGAACTGGAGGGTGGAGGAGGTTGACAATAGTTCCCAGGAGCAACCTGGTTCCCAGAGTCTAGAAGAGCGGGGAGGCCAGCACATCCCAGAGCCTGGCTTCGGGAGCCCCTGCCTCTGCCTCAAATGGCTCTACAGCTGGATTTGGTCTCTATAGCTCCCTCAGCAGGCGCATCCCTGCCTATGATTGGGAGCAAGGGATTGAGGAGAGGGACCAGGCAGTTTGCATGCATAGCCCAGGTATGTCCTATGTCCCCAGGCACCAGGCAAAGGGGAGCAGGTACAGCTACTAGTCCAGCAAGTGTAGTGCTAATGGGCAGCCCACTGAGTCAGCAGCTAGAGTGTCCTGCTTTGCATCAGGGGAGAGTTGGAGGGACCAGCTTGAGTCACCAGGGGACTGAAATGTCAAAGATTGCCCAAGAGAGTGTGGTACACTATGATGCTAAAGCTATCGTCTCAGAGTGCCTGCCACGTAGACAGGGAGGGGGCTTGTTCTGGGGAGTACCCTGGTCACATGACTGGACAGCTTGACCCCTTGGATGCAGACCAAGGTCAATGTCTGGGGGTCAGCCCCTGTATCCATGGCCACCTGTACCTTCAGCACAGACTTGCAGGCCTGGCTGTATGGAGGATGTCCACTTGATTTTTTCTTGATTCCTTTCTGCCTCTTTTGAGATTTCCCTGACTGGGCAGTGAGGCCAGGGGCTTCAGGGAACTGGAGGGAGCTGCCTTGTGCCAGTGTGGCAGTCTCCCAAGAAAGCACCAAGAGGTATGTTTCCTGCTAGTCTGTCAGCAGGCTCCAACAGCAAACTGGGAAGGCTTAGCAAGTGAGGCGCTTACAGATCACCCCTCAATCAATACTTCACACTATGATTATTAGTTCCTGTTCCCATGGGGGGGGTGGTTTTTGTGCTAATGGGAAGCCTTCAAGAGATTTGGGGAACATCGTCAAAAATGATTAACATTAAATCATTTCATTTTTACCCTTGCCTGAGAGGTAGCCTCGCCACGTTTACCTCACATGTGGGGAAACTGAGGCCCTGGGAGGTTAAGGGACATAACTGAAGTCCCACAGAAAGAAGGTGTTAGATGTAGGAGCCCAGCGTCTGCTGAGTGGGTGGCTGGTACTTTCTGTGTCACGGCTCTGCTCCGTTAGAAACCCTAAAGGGTCTGGAGGATTCAGCTGACTGGTGGGTGGGCAAGTGGACAAGAAGGGGTGTGTGTGGGGGGGCTTTTCTGGGTGTGCTTACAACTCCAACCCCAGGTCTGAGTAGGCAGCAAGCTGGTCCAGAGGCCTGGGGCGGACACTCAGATGCCAGCTGGGGTTTGCCTGGCTTCTCTACAGGTTTCATATGCCTTGAGAGATTCAGAGCGTGTCCAAGTGCTGAAAGGCTCAAGCTTGCCTTGGCCTAGGGTGGCTGGGCCTGGTGTCTCTCACTGAACCCCCTCTCTCCGGGCCCAAGACAAGGCTATGATTAATCATCAACAAAAGCAGAAACAAGCAGAAAAATGTAATCAGCTTGAGAAGGGCATGGCCGGGCAGGGCGGTGGCAATCAGCTCCCCTGCTGGGGCCTTTGGCTGATTGGACCCAAGGGGGCAGGGAGATAGTTCAGACGGGGGTTCCAAGAATGAGACTGAGGCCAGCTGAGGCCCACCCAGGCCAGAGGGTCACCGTCTCCCATAACTGTACATGTCCACACGCATCTCTGCTCATGTATACATGCCACTCCCAGCTCAAGGGCCTTCACACCTGCACACACCTGCCTCCAGGCTTGTGCCCTTCCCTGCCAGCTCACTGTCCTGGCACATGTAGGTGGTCATGCATACTTCAGACACTCATCTGCATGTGGATTTGAAAATGCATGTACACAGTGTCCTGGACGAAGGATGAAGATAAACACATGCACATGCTACCCTCAGACACCTGCTCCCACCCCCGTAGCACACATGCTCAAGTCCCGAGGATGGTCTAACCTGCAGCCATGTGACCAACAGGCTCTGGGTCGTCGGTCTCCTCCTCACTGCCCCTGGGGACATGAGATAGACCTTGGCTTCTGCTCTGCAAGCCGAGTGGCAAGGGCTCAGAAAGGATCCAGGACTAGAGCCCCGTGTGGGATCCAGTCAACTGCTGGTGTCAGCCACAGGCCGGTGGAGTCTCCTGCAGATCTGTGCTTGGCCCTGCCTGGTGACCTTGGCCAACGTCCTTTTCTAAGCCTCAGTTTCCCTACCTTTGAGCCTCTCCCGGCACCAACATGAGGATTACTGGTTTTGAGGACCCCGCGCCTGGGGCAACCTCACCTTTCTGGGTCTCTAGCCGTTAGTTCTCATCTCTCGGCGCTTGCTGGGGGAGGGCTAGAGGGGGCAGGTGGGACAGTGGGTACAAGGAACGGCTCCACCCCCAGTCCACACCACCCTGGTCCCTCTGGCTGAGAACGTGGGGTGCGGGAGACAGCAATCCGAAGCAGACTGGGGGGAAAGCAGAATCGGGGCGAACCGGAGAGAAGGCGCCGGGGCAGGCTCGGGGCGGCCGCTCAGGGGCCGGCGGCGG